TTCATAGTACTCCTTTGGTTTTTGTAATGTTTTTATTAGACAGCTATTTTATCGTGGATGTTTATTGAGTGATATCGCTTGTAGATATTTTGTAATAAAACAACCTGCAATAGCTTCTATTATCAGTCGCCTATTTTTTTTTTAAAGCCTTCTGATTCAAAGTCTCTGTCTACGTACAATTTTAGTGGACACATAAAAACGTTGCTTACCAGTGACCGTTGAACCTAAGACAGAAAGTGGCTCCGCAGACCACCATTTTGAGATTCCCTAGCTCATCACCCCCACCGCCACCCTTTTCCCAAGCTTGTATGGCCCATGTCGAGACGTAACGCATAGAGTCACTCAGCGGTTCTCAACCTTTTAAGCTCGGCGACCCCTTTTTACAATCTCCCATTCTGCCGCGACCCCCCTCCCCCCCCCCCCCCGACACATTCAGCAGTAGAAGAATAGACAATAATAATCCTTATTTTTGATACTTTTAGGCGACCCCTGGCAAATCGTCAATCGACCCCCAAGGGGGTCGGGACCCACAGGCTGAGAACCCCTGGATAGAGGCATATTGAGAAGGAAGTCATTAATATTTATTTGAATACATGGATGTACTTTGTCCTCCAAATCATGTTAACAGGCTACATAGATGTACTTTGGTATCCGAATAGTACGGACCAGTGGTGAAAGTATCAAAGCATGGGGTAGTTCACTAGAGATGTGGTGAAAGTATCACAGCATGGGGTAGTTCACTAGAGATGTGGTGAAAGTATCACAGCATGGGGTAGTTCACTAGAGATGTGGTGAAAGTATCACAGCATGGGGTAGTTCACTAGAGATGTGGTGAAAGTATCACAGCATGGGGTAGTTCACTAGAGATGTGGTGAAAGTATAACAGCATGGGGTAGTTCACTAAAGATGTGGTGAAAGTATCACAGCATGGGGAGTTCACTAGAGATGTGGTGAAAGTATCACAGCATGGGGAGTTCACTAAAGATGTGGTGAAAGTATCACAGCATGGGGTAGTTCACTAAAGATGTGGTGAAAGTATCACAGCATGGGGTAGTTCACTAAAGATGTGGTGAAAGTATCACAGCATGGGTAGTTCACTAAAGATGTGGTGAAAGTATCACAGCATGGGTAGTTCACTAAAAATGTGGTGAAAGTATCACAGCATGGGGTAGTTCACTAAAGATGTGGTGAAAATATCACAGCATGGGGTAGTTCACTAGAGATGTGGTGAAAGTATCACAGCATGGGTAGTTCACTAGAGATGTGGTGAAAGTATCACAGCATGGGGAGTTCACTAGAGATGTGGTGAAAGTATCACAGCATGGGGAGTTCACTAGAGATGTGGTGAAAGTATCACAGCATGGGGTAGTTCACTAGAGATGTGGTGAAAGTATCACAGCATGGGGTAGTTCACTAGAGATGTGGTGAAAGTATCACAGCATGGGGTAGTTCACTAAAGATGTGGTGAAAGTATCACAGCATGGGGAGTTCACTAGAGATGTGGTGAAAGTATCACAGCATGGGGTAGTTCACTAGAGATGTGGTGAAAGTATCACAGCATGGGGTAGTTCACTAGAGATGTGGTGAAAGTATCACAGCATGGGGAGTTCACTAGAGATGTGGTGAAAGTATCACAGCATGGGGAGTTCACTAGAGATGTGGTGAAAGTATCACAGCATGGGGTAGTTCACTAAAGATGTGAAAGTATCACAGCATGGGGAGTTCACTAAAGATGTGGTGAAAGTATCACAGCATGAGTTCACTATCCAAGAGCGTGAGGACAACAAAACTCATTCGAAAGTTTATTGAAAGCAATTATCGTAAAACCTTTTTTAGTTTGTTTTGTTATTATTTAGAATGTAAAAGTGCCTTCACTGTACACCAGTGCATAGAAACAACAGAAGAACTTCATTACGAGACATTACAGCGAGGTCTGTTTTTAAACGAGGGAATTTTGGGGCCATCATTTTGTCCGTTCTAAGAATGTAACAAGACGAGACGTTAAATGGCAGACGTGAAAGATATTGTTACTGGTCTGACAAACCTGACGACCAATGGTTGGATTGTTCGGAGAATATTTTGCAAGATAGTCTGATGGACACCGGGAACCGAAACGAGGCAAAGGTGACAGGAAATCACTTTTCTAATCGTACCAAGAAACGTGTGTTATTTTACGATCAATTACGTGACAGACGAAGTCTGGGCGCCATGTTGTATTCGTTCGTCTCAAGAACGAACTATTGCATAATACTTCGGATTAAAAAGTTTGAATCATCCTTTTGATTCCCCCCAATAGACATTTTATGAGATATAAACAAGAAGACTCGTTGAGGGGCAGTTATGACCATGCTCCATTTCTTGTCCCGATTCCGTTTTTCAAGAACCCTCCTCCCCCCCTTCATTAATGTTTATGTCCTGAGGTAGCCACGCGCCACTAAACGACCTCGTACACTTCAAATGTTAGCTGAGGTCAAACTCCAAAAATTGGCACGCGAAAAAAAAAATAAGTTCAGTGACCGTGTGCAAACAGTGTGTAAGTTACGGGTGATTCTCTCCACCTGTCACCCAGGTGGTGCTGTTTGTAAAGCTCGGCACTAAATTATCCTTTATTTACACGAGGGAAAGTAGCAAAAGTATTGAAAGTGTTTAAACCCTTCACGTATACTCAAATAGGTCTCAAAATGACTTGATTTATTTGAAATTATTGAAGAAGCATATTTGAGTGGGCGTGGGGCGGCTATGAATCATCATCTTGACAGATTTTCTTTTTTGTGTTGCCTTTGATCAAGATTTAAACATGAAGTAACCTTCATTCCTTTTTGTTAAAAATAAAGAAAAATGTGCTGTAGATCTAATTTCTGTAGCTGAAAATAATATCCAGCGATAAGTCGTTTTTAAGCGCCTTGATTGTAATAAATACTTGTGATCAATAAAACAATGAATTACAGTGAAAAAAAATGTCTACTCGAATTTTTAAATAAATATTTCAACAGCTAAGTTATTGTTTATAATATTCTTTACCAAGCATCACAAAATTAAACACTGCTATAACAAAATAAATGTCTCTTTTTTGTTTCTTTTTAAACTATTATAATATTTATATTTCATTTTGTAAGCCAGCAATACCAACAAAGAAATTTAGATCACATCGTCTTCAAACTACTTGTGAGAGCTTGAGAGACTCAAATCATTATTTGCAAAAGAACCCAGAAATGTGATAAAATACCCAAGTAGTGAAAACAATTGGACTGCTTCCTTCCAAAACACAAATCTGCTACAATACAGGACTTCCGGAAGTTGTAATGTCGTCTAAGAAATATGTTTAATAAATATGTTTTACTGACGAAATGATTCATTTGTAATTTTTTTCCTGTAGCGGTCATTTAGTTGCGTCCTCACTATTTTGTCACTTTCGACTCTTCACAGTTACTTATCCGTGTCAGATGCTGCCTAGGATGCAACTTAATTGTATTGATCATGACTCAGGTTATTGGAGGCCATTGGCAAAAGTGAACGCAAAATTACGCAATTAACGCATTTAGCACTTCATATCTTTCTCAAAATAAATCCCACAGAGAAAAACCGCTTCTCAGAACCTCTTGCGAAACTTTGTTCCAGAATCACGAAACTTTTTTTTTTAACCAAGTCAACACGTTCTTTGTTGCTAGTTCTAGTTGAAGATGACAATAATCTTTCTAACCGAAGCCAATATGCTGGATTTCGTCTGCAGTGCTTGAACCTGTAGCTTCGTGCATGACTTCCTATCGCAAATTAGCATATTTGTAATTTGTTGACAAAATCCAAAATCTAGCAAGTAATTCTAAACATTAGTGAATAAATTTTGTCCTAGTAGAAACCTAGAGCTAAGCTAGTAGACATAGAGTCACATAGTTCTGCTATGTTTGAGATTTGATCCAAGTTTTGCAATTTATTATCGAAAAATGTTTCTTAGCCCTTTGCGAGGCCCCACCAATCGGACGCCTTGCCCCGCTACCTATTTTGCTTATTCCTTAATGCCGTCTCTGGCTCTGTACAGAGACCTTAAAGCACTTTCTAGGAATCTTTAAGAGGGGGGTGGCTGGCATCCATTCACCTGGAGCGGGTAAGGCTTTGTACAGGTATTTCTTGGGGCTTCACCCTAACTTCGCAAAGGATGCCGGGACGTACACAACCCAGACTTTGTTAGGGTTAGTGACGTGGATTACAAACGTGTATTACAAAAGATCATCCAATAGCTGAATGACATCAAGGTTCACAGGTTAAGTTCACTACAATGATCACATGGCAGATCACGTGTTACTAACACAAAGTAGATGAATGCACCAAGTGCTCCTGTCACGTGTGTGCACGCGCGGCTTTGCGTGTGTGTGTGTGTCTCAGGTGATTGAACATTTCATTCGCCCCATCAACTTCATCCCTTGATGGCTTTGTCAGCCCTCGTTTTGAGTTCACCTCGAACATCGATGGAGACAATAAAATGGCATTATTTATCAGAAATGTCATCTTTAAAGCCAAAGGAAAAAAAATCCACTTCCTATTTTATTTCAACGACATTAGCTTGAAGTTAATTAAAGCTGGGCTTATGTTGTATGGATTCAATTAAACACTAATAAAACAAACAAACAAACAAATAATACTTGTCTGAATTAATGTGTCGGGCTAAGGTCTGGGGGAAAAAGAATCGAAGGATTTTTTAAAGATTTATTTTGTAAAACAGTTTGACTAAATTACGAATATGTTTAAAATGTATATATTTTTATTGTGCATTTTTTTGTAAAGTCCATTAGAGCACCTAAATCTGATTAAAACTAAATGTTTGGAACTCGCTCCTGTTTGGGCCGCATGCTTCACTACATTCATGCAGAACATCAAGACCTGTTTAAAACGTATATAAAGATTAGTTTGTCTTGTTAGCTGCTTTCTGTCAGCTTTTTTTTTCAAAGCGCACGAAGCCTAGATTATCTTTAGTATCTTCATTATGTAAATTAAATTATTATTAAATATGCTTCTCATCGAGTCACTTTCCTTGCTAGATTACTGAGAAAGAGGACAAGGCTTAGCCACAGTCCCCAAAATGCGATGTTTCTCCATCCCTTTAAATCCGATCAGCATGGAAGAGAGGCGAGTTCTGACGAATTGTTAGCACAACCATTGTAAATTTATAATCCAGGCTTTCTCCCAGCAGGAGCGAAAATTGTATACAGGTAAAAAAAAAAAAAGGCAGGCGACCCAAAGCCAGACCCCGAAAGCGATGGATTGATGATGTGGAGGCAGATCTGCAACAGCTTGGGGTTAGGGCGTGGAGACGAAAGGCCTAGGAAAGATCTGAATGGAAGGATGTGTTGAAGCAGGCCAGAGCCCTCCATGGACTGTAGCGCCACCGGGATGGATGAGATGGATTTCTCCCAGCAAAGAAGTCGCCCCCATCTACAGAGGGAAAAGATCGTCTCTCTATACCTATCAAGCCTCAGATATCAATGAAACGTGCCATTGGGCACCCATTGGGCTCCCTTCCTCTTTGTTATTCCCCGAGCTCAAGGCACAAACCAGGCCAGAGACCGGTCCTTTATTTTTGTGTATATTTACCAGTCTTCTTTCATTTTTGTCTGGTTTTATTCCCCGTAGGAAGCTTTTACTTTTTTTTAAAGCCAACGAATCTTTTTTTTTTAAAGTAATCAATAGGTCACAGTCAAACTTAATGGACTTTACCATCTTGTTGACTAACTTTCTTGATTTTTTATTGCTACAGTTTCTTCATATTAAAATTCTTCTAGTATATCAGTCTAACACAGGTTGATCTATTGGGAAACTGCCATAACTCTGTCTCAAGGGGTACATTTAGTTACCATTTATTATCTGTAATAGTTCTCTGCAATTCTATTATTATTATTGTTGATTCTGTATATCGCGTCTTCCATGTTTCTTTAGCATTCTGAGGGCGCTTTGGTGAAATCTCTTGTGTGTGTGTGTGTGTGGGTGGGTGTGTATCTGGTTTGTTCCAGTGCTGCATTTGGGCGCTCAGCACACACAATTAGGCGCGAGTCAAATCTCAAAATTAAAAATTTATAGTCTACGTTGGGATTGGAACTCAAACCCCACCGGGTAGCCAAGTGGTTCATTCCATTCCCGCACGTGTTCAAATCTAGTAAGCAATTTAAGACTGGACCCTTCCTTCAGGTGCTAGAAGCTTTTGTAATATAATGCTTGCTTCTGGTCCCCAGTTCTGATGTCCACTCATTGGTCACCCATGTCGCCATAAGCTTTAGCCGTTTTGTTAACGAACTTGACCCTCTCTTCTTCTGATACTTCCGGTCTTCAAGTCTCTAGACACTGACGTGGTGCCTGGCTGGAAATGTCCATGAGAAAGAAATGAAATAATGGGAAAACCAACTTCAGATATTTAGTCTGATGAACTTATTCAGGGGGAAGTAAACAGCTTTACAGATCTCCTCTGACTTCCCCTTAAGAGATGCTGGTAGATTGTGTCGAAATATTAAAATTTCTCTCCCGTTTTGCTTGCCGCCTCTTCCCTCTAAAAACTTTCACCCCCACAAAAAAACAACAACAAAAAACAAGCCTTCGTCAACGTTTATACTGTCTACTAATATTACAGTATAAGAACACAATAATGGTATAAGCGTTAGAGGAAGGTGCAGGGTGTGTCTGTAGCCTCCTCCCCCTCTTTATAAGCCCTACTCATTGAGTCTGATTCATTCATTGTCCTTCAGATCTTGGACGTGGTCGCAGTTGCGCCCTAAATGTCATAAGTTTTGTTTAAATGTAATGTCTTCATTAGACCACCGTCCATCGACTCCTTTTTCCTCACCAGGTCCATTGATTGTTGTATTTAATTGCCCAGATAACGTTCAAGAATCACCCGTTGATCCCAATCCGTTTCTTCAGCTGTTACCCTTTCAACATGGGCAACGGAGGTGTCAATGCTTCACTTATGGAATAAGGGGGTGGGTACTGGGTACTATAAATCCCAGACTGAGAGCCGCTGCTCTAGATATGGGTTCACTAACTTCGGTCAGTCGTAATTGTTTATAGTTTTATTGATCATGTCATTTAAGATTTTAAAAAGGAGAAAATAAAAAAGAAATAATTCTCCAGCTTATATTGATATAAGCGGATCTCATGTATTAATCTCTAAACACTGCTCTTTTTCCCGCTGTGAAAGAAAGGGTGGAGCAATGGAAAAACATTGATTATTATATTGTGTGATTGTCTTTCTTATTGTGCTTTTTATATTTACAAGATAAGAATACAATAATGGTTATCACTATATTTCGTAATATCGCGGCTCAATTCGTTCTTTGACTAATTTGCGATGCACTGAAAAGCCCATCATGGAAGCAAGCAGGAAGAGAGAAGAATGTGTACCATTAATGATAATTAATATTTATATATTGGTATATATATCTAATATAAAATGGTATGATCTTTCCAAGCAGAGCTTTTCGGAAACCGAACCAATGGTCTGAAGTCCAGTAACGTAAAGTGATAAAAATGACAAGATAAGACTTCAGGATAAAGTTTTATGTTCCGTTCAGCTCAGTTATATACATTTGTGTTTCTTTTTGTCGAGTCGGTGTTTATAGCTCCTTTACCCAACTATTTGTGATGTTTATAGTGTCTTGCCCAACTATTAGTGATTGGTGCTCTACCGACCACCCCTTAGTTTTTAAGTAGCCTTTTGTGCCAGAGAGGCTAGAAAGAAGTGCATTGAACTGCTAAGTACTTTAGATCGTTTCAACTAAACGGAGCTAGCGAGCTACAACAAAACTTGTTGAACTCTAATTTGAAATACCTCCAGGAGAAACGAAACAAACCATCAGTTAAATTTCAAGGTCATTCTACTTAAGCATCTCGCGAATCCCCCCACGTGGCTACCAGACATACCCCAGGACTGTACTAATACTTTACATTCTCGTGTGTTTTTGTAACTTTTTTTTTTAGGTGGATTATATCTTGAGTTAAAGTTGGCATCGCGTGCCCCCCCCCCCTCCCCCAACCCCGGGGACAAACGCCTTGAGCTTCTCCTCTAGTGAGACTGTGTCTTGATTGTGATTGGACTAAAGGAAAGAAGCCGAAGGCTGTAGGACACATTGATAGTACTAGTACTCACGGTGTAGTTGCTGACCTCGTAAGATGGTACTACATTACACTTTGTACCTGTCAGAGCCACGTATTGTAAACGGTAGAATGTCTCTACCAAAGTATGTTGCAGGGGGCGCGGTGGCTGAGTGGTTAAGCACTCTGCTTCTGAACCTGAGGTACTAGGTTCAAATATCGGTGAAGGCTGAGATTTTGAATTTCGGGATTCTTATGGCGTCCCTGGGTCTACCCAACTCTAGTTGGGGAAAGTAAAGGCGGTTGTGCTGGCCACATGACACCCTGCTCGTTAACCGTTGGCCATAAAAGCAGATGACCTTAACATCATCGGCCCCATAGATCGTAATTTTTTTTTTCTTTCATGTTGCAGGTTATGTTATTACAGCTTACATATGTTATACCCTAGTTACGAATTCAAATGTCGCAAGTATTAAAAAAAATGTCGTTATTCAATATGCAACAAAATATACAGATGTCCTAGAACGGTATGTTATAAAATCTACAAAAGTCGTTATTCAATATGTTATAAAATGTAGAGATGTCCTAGTTCGGTATGTTATAAAATGTAGAGATGTCACAAAAATAGCATCTTTAGCAATCATATTCTAAATAAAGCCTTAGTCAAGTACCAACACCATATTGTCGCATCAGAAAAGACTTGAGGGGAAAACGAGTGACCGGAAGTGAACACATGATCTCACTGGTCATCTCGGCAGTTTGATTTCACGTGTCGGCTCAACCCGGTGCAAAGCTGAAATCCCTGCCTGAGCTCCTGTTTGCTAGTCCAACAATATCCTTTATTGGCAAGTCTCCACAAAGCAACAAAGGGAAGCTACTTCAGTTGATTGTTCATGCGAGCAGGGATTCTAAAACTGGTCGGCTTACCACCGTACCACTCACACGGCGCATCAGCACTTAACAAATTAGATGGGGGTACAGGCGAAGATTTTAGGGACATTTTTATATTCGTTGTAGTTCAGGGTCCACTGTATTTCTTCAATGCAACAAGCTCCCCCCCCCCCCTTTTTTTTTAACAGAAGAAGATAAAGGCAGTAGATTAGATTCAATGAGCGGGTGAGTGACCCAAATACTTGGAAACATTAATATTTTGTTCACAGTGGAAGTTTTAAATGAGTATTACTACTACACGTGACGTCACTGATCTACTAGAATAGCTCAGGAATTTTCGATCACTGCTATTTTAACTTTCTCTAGAACATTTTCCTTTCTGTGTTTGCGTCCACAATTTGTAGTCATAAACCATTGACTATATAATGCAATACAGTCTATGTCAGTCTATTGTGTCAGTCTATGTCAGTCTATTGTGTCAGTCTATGTCAGTCTATTGTGTCAGTCTATTGTGTCAGTCTAATATGTCAGTCTATGTCAGTCTATTATGTCAGTCTATGTCATAAACTAATAGTGTTTGAGAAGAAGACGTGTTTATATATCTAGAGCAGTTTCCAAACTGTGTTCCCCGGAACTCAAGTGTTCCGCGAGGCCTGAATAGGTGTTCCACGAACTACTGGAATAATCAACTAGTAGGCCATCATGTAAATTAATGTCTCTAAAATAAATAAGCAAAGTGTTACGCTAAATACTCAGAATGTGCGAAGTGTTCCGCTAAATACTCAGAATGTGAGAAGTGTTCCGATAAAGAAAAGTTTGGGAAGCACCGATCTAAAGACTCGAACTCCTTATAGAATGCTTGCAGTTCGAAAGTTATAAACTCTCAATCTGAAGGCTCTATGCTATCGTACATTGATAATCCTTTCTCCTCTCATTAAGATATTCTCCACTAAGAATTATGTTTTGAAATTAACTTAGAGCTAAAGAAACACTTTTTTGTTTGGCTCATGAAAACCAAAGCAGTGGTAGTGAAGTGAATACTGTACAGTGGCTATGTGTGGAAATAGAACATTGGTATGTGTGGACATAGAACAATGAGCTTTGACGAGAACAATCTGAGAATCCTTGTTACTAATTTAAGTCCATCACTCCCCTCCCCACTTCCAAAATAAAAAGCTGGGGGGCTTACAGTTCATTCCTTGTCGAGGCAATGGAGTGAGTAGAAAGAAAAGAATGGGGGTTGGCGTTAGGGGGAGGGTCGTCTTAAAGTATTTAATTGTACGAGGAACCATGCTCGCCTCACAAATCTAACACTCTTGAGTTTGATAATAATTTCAAACTTGGCGCCCCACTCATGCCCCTGCACCGCGCCTGGGTTAACACTGTAATACGAATATGTT